CGCGGGGCGGGCGGGGCGGGCGGCGCTGCGTCACCCCGTACGCAGGGCGGCCGCGGGGGACGCGGAGGGGGCCGGCGCGGGGGTGGGGTTGAGGAGGGGGCCGGAGCGCGAGCGGGGCGGGGGAGGGGGGCCGCGAGCGGCGGGGTTGGGGGCGACCGAGGAGGGGCCGGCTGGGGGGAGACAAGGGGGCGGGCGTGGGACCCAGGAGGGGGCCACAGGGGTGCGAGGAGGGGGCAGGAGTCGGGCCGCGCGGACCCGGGGCGCTGTCCCGGGATCGTCCTGAGGGCGCAGGCCCAGGAGGGGGTGGCCTCCCCTCGCCCCTGGTCTTAGGGACCGGGTCACAGTTGCCGGGCCTGGAGCTCAGTAAGGCCTCCTTGGTGGGTCGTAATGACAGGTGGCGTCGGGGTGGCAGGTGGCCCAGAAATGCTGCCTGGGCGGTCTGCGGGGGTGGCGGGCAGGCCCGGCCCTCCAGGTGGGCGACGGGCACCTATGCCAATCCAGATGCGGCGCTGATGGGCGGCTAGATGTCCTCTCCAGAGCTGGGCTGGCCCTGCCTTCGTCTCAGAAGTAAGCTCGAAGGCCTGGACAGGCACCCATAGCCGATGCGAGCCCCATTGCCCACCCCCCCAAACTACCATAGGGTCCTCTGCTTACAGGCCCCGGGGGGGGGGGCAGGTGCCGCCCTCCCCACATTGCTGAGGGGAGCAGTTTTAGGCACTGGGGACTCAGCAAGGAAGGGATGGGACAAGCATTGGAAGCGGGCAGTCTGGGTTAAGGGGCCCCCTGTGCCCTGCCCACCCAGGCTGAAGAGAGATTTGCCCCTGAAGAGGCATGTCGTGCTCACAGGGCTATCAGCGTCCAGCCGTCCTTTACTGCCTACTGGACTATGTGTCCTGCCTGGGTTGGGGACTTCAGAGAGCAGCTAGGGGTCCCAGAGCCCCTGCAACCCCTACCCCAGGCACTCATGGCCAGCCTGAGGGGAGGGGGGTGCCTGCGTGCTGGTGGCGGGGAAGGCTTGCTGGAGGAGGTCTTCCTCCTAGGGGCCTGGGATCAAGCAAGGGGGGGGGCACAGGCAGCTGAACCCTCCCCTCCTGAGTCGGCCCAAGGAGAGGGAGGTGCTGTTCTGACTCCTGTGCCCCAGATTCTTTTCCTCATCAGAGGCCCAGTTCAGCCATATGGGGGGGCCTTCCCTGACCTCCCAGCTAAATGGACCATGGCAGCCCACCCCAGCAGGGCTCCAGCCCTGCACTCAGAGCACGTCTGCCCCTCCCCACCCAGCTCCAGGAGGACATGGACATGTCTATCCTGTAGCTCTCACGCTGAAAATAGTCCCAGTGCATAGGAAGCACTCCAGTACTTGGCCCATGACTGCATCTGTCCCCGATTTATCAATGAAGAAGCTGCAGCTCAGGGAAGCTGAGTAACTTGTCTAAAGGCAGAGGGCTCAGAAGTGACAGAGGTCCAACTGCAGGGGCCCAAGTGAGCCATCTGCCTCCCCGTCAGCTCTCCCTGCCCAGCCCTGCTTCTCCGTGACTCCTCCCGCAGGAACCTCCCCTGCAGATGGCAGAAGGGCGGGCCCCATGCCTGTGCTTGGCACTGGGTAGCCACAAATACAGGCCTTACCCTACCAGCTCCCTGCGATGCCCTCCTCACCAGGAGCCCAGCCCCTGTTCAGGCGTGGTGCAGGGAGAGAGAGGAGAGGGCAGAAGGCTGGGTGTGAGTCCGAACCCCGCCCTCGGGCAAGCCATCCCTGATCTCCAGCCCAGGGGGGGGTGGACAAAGGAAGGCCTGCCCTGCCTCCCTCCCACGGCTGGGCTGGTGTTCTGAGGCTCGGGAAGTGTGGGTACAAAACTTCCTTGGAAGTCTTGCGTCAGCGCCTGCGGGGGCCTGGTTTCAGCACTGCAGCATATGGAGAAGGAGCATGGCAGGGAAGTGCGGGGGGGGGGGGGGCAGGGCCTCAGAAATGCCAGCCTCCCTGCCGGGGCGCCTCCTGTGGTTTCCCTGGGCTTGGCTCCTTCTGCCCCTCCCAGGTTATTCATCTAGAGATCCTTTAATGCCGCACAGCAGCTCATAAAGGCTATAGCCGGAGTGGGAACCCAGAAAGGACTCACACCCCACCTCTGTGGGGGAGACCGTAGCGTCAATGCCAAAGCACTGATGAGGCCGCAAGGAGGGAGCTCAGGTGTGGTGGCTGCACTTGGAGGCAGAGCCTTCAAAGAAGCGGTTAAGGTAGAATGAGGGTGGATGGGCGGGCCGTAACCCGATCGGACCGGTGTGTTTACGACAGGAGATTTGGACACACAGAGAGACCAGGAGAGGGTCAAGCATATGAAGAGGCAGTAAGAGGGGAGCGGTCTCTAAGCCAAGGTGGGAGACCCCAGCAGAAACCAGCAGGCCAGCACTTTGACCTTGCCTCCAAACTAGAACTGTGAGAAAATAAGCCTCTCTTGTTCAAGCCACGTGGACTGTGGCGGCTTGCAGCCTCAGTGGAGTAATGCAGTGGCCTTCCACACTGGGGGGGCCTGTGGCTCCAGGCCTGGCCGAGGAGGGGCCTGGCCAATGCAGGGCCCCTCACATATGCTCAGGGGAAGAAGGAAATGAAGTACAGGCCACGCTGTCAGGCCGTGTGCTTCCTGCAGCTGGCTGGATGGGGAGAGGGTTGGGGCGGGGGGTGTCAAACCCTATCCGAGCACACTGCCAGGACCCTGCTGTGTGCCAAGCGTTGGTGGGGGCTTCAGGGGCTAGCTGTGAAGGCAACAACAAGCAGAACAGCCAACATGAGCCTCCAAAAGGCCAGGGCGACCCAGCCCTCTGTACTCAGGCTGAGCTCGCAGCTCCCGTGATGGCTGCCCGGCCGCCTCACTCACCTCTGTCCTGGCAGCCATGCCTTTCTAATGCTGGGCCTTGGCCAAATGCCCTTCCCGTAAGTTCTGCCTGGGAAACCTCCACTCAGCTTCTCCTGCACCCCACCTCCCTCTTTTAGTGCCACGGAGCTCACCCAGGCAGCTCACCCCATGAGGCTTGCATCAGGCTGCCCCGTGTATGGCCTCAGTCCCACCTGGGGTGCTGCAGTGTTGGTGCCCCAGCCTGTGCCTGGCCCGGCGTGTGCACAGCTAACCCCAGCCCTCCGCAGGGGCTAGACATGCCCCGGATGCCAGCTAAGCCAGAGCGCACGAACTCAGCCAGCAGCCCGGAGCTCGAATCGGTCAGACTCTGCCCTGCCACCTGCCCCTGCCCCATGGCCAGTCTGCAGGCTTGGGCTGCAGCCCAAATCTGGCCAGCTTGTCTAGGCCAGACATCCTGCCCAGCAGGGGCCCACACGCACTCCCCTGTGCCGAGATCCTATCTAGGCCCACAGCATTGCCACCCAACGCCCATGAGGATTCCGCCCACCGGGTCGTCCGTGCCTGAGACCTGCTGACCCCTCCTGGCCACCAGCAAGGACCTGGCACCGGCCGCACCTCCTAGCACTATCTCCTCTGTGGCCTCCGACCTACTTTGCTTGTGTCCCAGGAGCGCTCCCGGACTTGTTTACTGGGATGGCCATCTGCTTATCTCTCCAGGCTTCCTTCCCATGAAGTCAGCCATACGACCTGATGCTGGCACAATGCTGGGTGGGGTGGGGAGACACCTGCCCCCATGCACACTGGCTGCCAGGAATGCCGCCCTCTGCCCTCCACCGTGGAGGAGGAGCCTTCCCACCACAGCCTGTCAAGGCTGATTGCCCTGAAGATGTGTCCTGGACCCAAAGAGGCCCAAACATTTGGAAAATAAGCTGATAATTTACAAAACATTCATCCTTGCGTTGCATGCGTGATCCAGACAGTGGCTGCTGGGAATGGGAGTTATTTACCCCATTTTACGGATGGAAAGACTGAGACCCACCAAACTAACCCGACCTGTTCAAAGTAGAGGGTGTGGGAGAGTCTGAAATGTGAGAACAGAAGACCCACAGAAGCTGCAGCCCACACCCTCAGCAGGCAGTGCGTCCTGGGCACTCTGGTGGGGCCAGTCTGTTCCGTCCTCCAGGGCATGAGGGACTGTCCTGCCTGGCCTGCTCTAGCAGGAAGTGAGTGCTGCCCCCACCCAGACTCCACTCCCGGAGGCCAGAGGCCAGACCTACCCCCCCTGGGAAAGCCAGAGTCTGGGCCAGAATAGAGGGTGACCCCCAGTGGGCAGTGGCCAACAGGGTGGATCCGAGCTGGAAGGGCTGATGAAGGGGGCCCAGCCAAAAATAATACCGAAGGTGGCCGGGGATTAGGGCTGTTTGCACAGCTGGGAGCTGTGGGCAGTGCCACACCAAGGGGGAAGGCCCCAAACGCCAGGATTGGGCTTGGTCTGGATCCCGTGGGCTCCCCAGGCCTGCCAGGGTGATGGCCCCGGCGGGCGGGGTACCTGTCACTGGGCTACAGCTCTAGCTCATTTAATCCTCAAGATGATACTGCTCTGCAAGTGAGGGAGAGGTCCCCGTGAGCCTCGGAACCAGGGTCGGGGCTTCCAGGGGCCAGCTGGGGACC